GAGAGAAGGCGGAACCCATGTGGCACCCGATTCCAGTGCCTTGTCTAGCTGAGCACACTGGGGTTACAGCTGGGAAGACCACTTGTCCCTGCGAGTCTCGGGGGCAGCGACTGGGTCACCGTGACTGCATCACCGAGGCGACATTTGAGTGACCAGATGAATGTCTCCCGGGACCGGGGAGCTCTGCCCTTCTGACGAGGGGTCGGCTCTCGGGAGCTGGGAGCGAGAGAAGACTGAGTTGACTGTGCCCTGCTCTCCCTCTGCACACACCCGCTATGCTCCCATCGGCCGGCCAGCAGGCTGGCGTGATGCCAGGCTCACACTCAGGCTTCTCCGCACTAGAACTGGGATTCAATAACCCTGCGTCCTTAGGAATTACCCAGCCTGGGTACGTCTGTTAGCAATGCAGTAATGGTACAGGTGCCCTGTCTGACAGGCTGCGTGACCAGGTCCTGTGGAGGGTAGGTGTCTCTGTCTGGGTATCTCTCTTATGTGCATACATGTGCTCTAATAAGAATTAAGAGAAAACACGGGACCAGCCGTTAGCGTAATGGCTATGTCACTGGACTCCCACCTAGTCCACCGTGGGTCGAGGCCCGCAACTCACACCGGGCACGTGTGCGTGCGTGCCCAGGATCCCAAGAGGAGAATGGAGGAGAAGGGATTGCAGCGTGGCCATCCCCTGAGGGGTGATTTCACACTTTCTGTCTCTCTGTCTCTCTCTGTCTGTCTGACGAGCGCACGCGCCCTATAGCAAAAACCTCTCCAAAAAAAAAAAAGAGAGAAAACATTTATTTTTTTAAATAACTATTTTATTTAATCTTATTCATTGTCATTATTATAATTTTATTTTTTTGAAGTTGACCAGAGTGAGAGAGAGAGCGTGCGAAGGGAAGTGAGAGAGCAAGCTGCCAGGTCCAGGACTCTAACCGTGGACAGCCACGTGGGAGTCCAGTCACCTCAACCACCATGCCACCTGCCGGCCCCGAAAACATTCATTTTTTAAGCAAGGATGCTTTCTACTGCCAAACGCCTCATAAAGAAAGCACCTCGGTTAGGACTTGCCACCAAGCATCAGCGCCCTGCCGCCCCCTCCCTGCCACCCCTGGGAACTGTGAAACACAAATGATTAGATCAAGGGTTGTATCCTAGGGAACATCAGTAAGCGTAATGGCTAAGTCGCTGGACTTCCATGTAGTCAACTGCGGTTCAAGTCCCGGACCTGGCGGCTTAAACTCACACCAGGCGCATGTGCATGCATGCCAAAGATCCCGAGAGGAGAATGGAGGAGAAGGGATTGCAGTGCGGCCATCCCCCCTGGGGGGTGATTTCTCGCTTTCTGTCTCTCTGTCTGTCTCTGTCTTTCTGGCCAGCACACGTGCCCTATAGCAAAAACCTCTCCAAAAAAAAGAAAAAAAAAAAAGAGTTATATCCTAAAGAAATGGAAAAGTGGGGGGTGGGGGGACATGATGGTTAAGATGCAGGTGGCATGATGGTTAAGATGCTGGACTCCCACATGGCTGACCATGGTTCAAGTCTAGGACCTGGTGGCTTGAAAATCATACTGAACAGGACCAGCAGATGGTGTAATGGCTATGCCGCTGGACTCCCAAGTAGTTTACTGTGGTCTGAGTCCCAAACCTGGTGGCTTAAAATTTGTATAGGGCATGTGTGTGTTTGTGCCCAAAACCCCCAGAGGAGAATGGAATGTGGCGTGGCCATCCCCCTTGGAGGGTGATTTCACGCTTTCTGTCTCTTTGTCTCTCTAGCGAGTACATGTGCCCCATAGCAAAAACCTTTTTTTGTGCATGCGTGCCCAAAATCTTGAGGAGAATGGAGAAGGGACTACAGCATGGCCATCTCAGGGGGTGTGGGGGATTTCTCACTTACCCTTTCACTGCTTCTCTCTGTCTCTCTCCAGTGAGCACACATTGCCCTATACCTTAAGAAAAGGGCCAGCAGGTACATGGTGGTTAAGGTGCTAGACGCCCAGATGAACGACTGCAGTTCAAGTCCCTGATCTGTGGCTTGCTTTCTCTCTCTCTCTCTCTGGTGAGCACATGTGCCCTATAACAAATTTTAAAAACAATAATAATAAATAAAATTAAATAAATCATTCTTTTAAAAAGTCTTTCAAAAAAAAAAAGATGGGGCCAGCAGGCGGTGTGGTCGTCAAGGCGCTGGACACCCCCACATGGTTGACTATGGTTCGAGTCCTAGACCTGGTGGCTTGCTTTCTCACTTTCCCTCTCTATCGCTGGTCAAATTAAAAAAAAAAAAAGAATGAATAAATACATCACTCTTTTATTATTTTTTTTAGAGAGATATTTTTGTTATAGGGCTATATGGTGTGCTCACCATACAGACAGAGAGACAGAAAGCCGAGAAATCACTTCCTGGGGGGCAATGGCCACACCACAATCCCTTCTCCTCCATTCTCTTCTTGGGATCTTGGGCACGCATGCACAGGCACCTGGTATGAGTTTTAAGCTGTCCAGTCCGGGACTCGAACTACGGTCAACTATTTGGGAGTCCAGCAATGTTACGAGTAGGCCATCTACTGGTTACAATAAATCTTTGGAAAAAAAAAAAAAACGTAAAAGGAAGAAAGAAATAGGAAAGAGGGCCAGCAGGTGGCATGGTGGTTTAGGCTCTGGATTCCACACAGCCAATTCTTTTTTTTTTTTTTTTTTTTGGAGCGTTTTTGCTATAGGGCACGTGTGCTCGCCAGACAGACAGAGACAGAGAGATAGAAAGCGAGAAATCCCCCCCCAGAGGGGATAGCCATGCCTCAATCCCTTCTCCTCCATTCTCCTCTCGGGATCTTGGGCATGCACGCACACACACCCGGTGTGAGTTTAAGCCACTGGGTCCAGATCTCAAACCACGGTTGACTACGTGGGAGTCCAGTGACATAGCCATTATGCTAACTGCTGGTCCCTACACACAACCAATTCTATGGTTTGAGTCCTGAACCTAGTGGCTTGAAAAACATGCAAGATGCATTGTATGTGCATGCCCGTCTCTCTGAGGGGTGATTCCTCACTTTCTCTCTCTCTCTCTCTCTGGTGAGTGCACATGCCCTATGGCAAAAATTTTTTTCTTTTTGGAGAGGTTTTTGCTATAGGGTGCATGCGCTCGCCAGAAAGAGAGAGAGAGAGACAGAGAGATAGAAAACAAGAAATTACACCCCACGGGGGATGGCCGCACCACAAGCCCTTCTCCTCTCCGGGATCTTGGGCATGTGCCCGGCGTGAGTTTAAGCCACCGGGTCCAGGACTCGAACCATGGCCGGCTACATGGGAGTTCAGCGACATAGCCATTACACTAACTGCTGGTCTCAGAAAAATCTTTTTAAAAAAAAGAGAGAGAAAAAGAAAATAAATAGAAAAGCAAGCCACAGATGGGGAGAAAATATTAATAACGCCTATATCCAACAAATGGCTTTGTATCCAGATTCTATAAGGAACTCTTATAATCAAGAAAGATAAGCCGTCTAATGAAGAAAAAGGCAAAAACCTTAACAGAACTTCACAAGAGAAAATGTACTAACAACCCACAATCAGATGTGGAACATCACTGGTCGACATGAAGGCAAATTAAAACCACACCAGGG